ATATATATATATATTTTAGCATGAAGAATATAAGTAAGTACAAATTATACCTTACAAACCGATTTTGTAGAATTAAGTTAAGTTTAAAGTTCACTTCTTAAAGCAAATTGGAATACAAAAATAACAAGGTTTTTTAGAGCAACACTAATGAGTTTACTAGTACATCAAACAGATTTTGTGAAAACTTTGGTTGCTTAAAACCTCTCTGTGGAGTATTAAATGTCTTACTCTTGTTTAACTCAATTGTTATATATAAAAAGGGTTGTAATGATACTTTGATTTGGAATACATGAAGTCAGAAACTATATGCATTAATGTCAAACCCCCTTTGTCCAAACTGGGATACAATATACCAAAATTCCAATAACAAATGAGATACATATTGTAATTAAGGCATATGCATAAGCTCTCCAAGGATAGTCACTTTCTCTCATTGCATTAAACTCAGCAGCAAAAGTAGAGACAGTACTCAAACACCCCAACAGACCAAATTGAGTTCCTGATACAACAGTATCACAGTCCCTGGTGTGCACCTGCATAAGAGAAATAAATATTGCTTTGGACAAACAAAATCATAATGCATATCCTCTTGGTTTTAATAGATATTGGCATATAACGCCATATTATAAAAATGAAAAAGAAAAAATCCATTTAGACCAAAGGAGCAGCAATCCAACGTAATTTTGATATCTTCCTGGAGCTCGATGATAACAACCATTTTTCAATTCATTCCCACAAATATCATGAGCTCTATTTTTTGTAGATGTTCTAAAAACTAAAAAGATTTCTTTTTTTTTAAAAAAAACATCTCCTTTAAAATTCTCTTAATAGTTTATATTCTCCTGTTTTTAAGAAAAAATGTATTACTGTTCTCTCCTTATATTTGTTGAGAGAAGTATTGTAATTTCTTTCACTTAATAAAATTTCATTCTTCTTTATTATTGATGTTATTATTTTCTCATCTCATTTTAGCTAATATCCTATCAATGAGTTACTTAACAAGTAAGACAGAAAATTAATATGTCACTGTCCATGTAGAATTGTAGGAGTCCAATCTCAAATCTAATAAGACATTTCTACTTTTCTTATTAAAACGCGTTGAAAGAAATGTAGAATTATAGAAAGAAAACTAATTTCCCAGTAGAGGTGTGTCTAGCTCTCAAATCTAACAAGAAACACATTAGTATTGATTAACATTAATTGAAAACTATAAAATTAAGAAGTTTTATTAAATTAGACGCAAAAGACAGAAATTTGGAACTTCTAATAAATTTCAACCAATGGTAGAGATTGTGTTGAAAAGAGTGCAACATTTCTCATCTAAAATTAGCTCAGACATTAGCAAATGCAGTAAATATGACTGGTGGCATTGGAAGATGAATAAAATAACAAAGAAACTTACCGCTTTCTTCACAGTAGCAAGTGCAGCCATAACAAAAGCAGCAGATACATTGGCAATTAGAGTCCCGAATGGAATCCATTTAAACAACCCTTCCTTTCCCAATCCACGCCCGTTTAACCTTGCTAAGAACCATCTAATCCACACACCTATTGGTCCAACCATGCAAGCAAACCACAACTCAGCTGCATTGCCACCATGCCTGAACTCAGCCTTTACTAATACCCCACAGACACCCCATAACATGATTAAGATCACCAAAAACATCATCATAATAGTCAGCTGACGGCTATTGCTGTCTACTTTGGTGCTGATATTAGAGCCATCACTTCTAGCTCCACAACTCATACTCAGCTTGCTAAGAAGCCACCTGAAACCCTTAGCAGTTTCAATCCCTAATATGATGGAAAAGGCAACAAGAAATAGACCTGAAAATTTCCAGTAGTAAGACCAATTCAATTTTTCAATGAGCCAAGTTGATGGATGAAAAAGAAACCTACCTACTTTACATGGTCATGAATGTATGTTCCATACAATGTTTATAATTTTCCTATGTAAGCCTTGCAATAATTTCTCTTGTAAAGTACTCTTGTTCATCACAATTATTTACCTACTACAAATCCAAGCGAAGCGAAAAGCCAGTGACCAGAAACACTGAGTTCAAGCATTTTTTGATTCCAACCACTGAAGGTCGTAAGACTCCCTAAGTAACCAGTTGTTATTGCTATAGCTAGATGCTCTGACACTTGAGATATGTCTCCTTTGAATACAATACCAAACCATCCCATAAGAAATGAACCTATCTGGAATAAAACGAAAAGAAATTTGCATTACCAAGTTATCTGAATCAGTTTCCTTTTCTCAAGTTTCAGGTACACCTAAATAACGATTTAAATTTTTATTTGATTGATTATATTAAAGGAATACCAAAACGAACTTGCAACTTCATTCCATGAATAAAGGACTTAAGCAAATTTAAAATATCTGAAATTAACTGTATTACAGGAAGATTTATAAAAAAATGTTGTATATTCTGCAGATCAAAGATTTATAAATGCAAAATGGAAAATCAGCTAATCTTCTGCCATGAGAAAAGGAACAACTACTTGGTGTTCAGAGTCAGATAATTCCTGTTAGGACCAGCCTCTAGCTTTAAAGATGGCCCAAAGTAAGATACTTCTTTTTTGTTAAACATAGAGGATTCTTTTAAACCTGTTATATATTTTAATGCCTGAATTCATGTTCTTGGACAAATAATTCTGCACTGTTGGTATTTGTGAATATGACTTTTAATCTGTATGTAACTGAGACAGAAAAGTTATGAATCTGGAAAAGAGGACGCACCATATTAGAAGGAAGGTCAAGGTAAAGAAGAGTTTTGTTGCTTGTCACATTGCCAACCCCAGGGCCAAACAATTTTTGCAGTAAATATCTTGTCAAGACCTGCATAGTATCATGGCAACTTCTGCGTTACAAAATTCTTGAGGATAACTACTGCATGTGTCCTAACATGAAGTTTGACGATAAAAGGTTATAGCAGTGCTAATTCAGGCTGAAAACATTCCATAGCCTCCAACTTAAGCTCAAAATAAGTATGAATAAAGAAAGCAGCACATATAAGTTACACACTCTGCATGGACAGTACTGAAGGAAAATATTACACACCAAATACTGTTCAGCAGCTTCCTAGTGAAAAGCAGATAATGCTACACCAAAGTATTTTACATCAACTGGAAAATATTAACACCATAGCAATTCTAATGCAGCAATGATGTCATCATCAGTATATGTGAAAATTCAAGGAAAAATGTTAAGCATATATATTACCCCAAGAATTCCAAAAACAGCTAAATGAAACATACATGAAGCATAGTCCAGCAACTTCGGCAAACCTCTACGAGTTTCCTGAGAGCAAATAACAACGTTAAAACACTAAAGCGGCATGAAATGCCATTCATCAACAGATACGGTAAATTAACATTTAAAAAGAAAACCCAGAAACGAACAACCTCCTACCCCGTATGAAAGTGTTGAATAGAACTCACATGATTTATGGCTTCAGAGTCCACTACGGCACCTGTTGAAAGAGTGGAATTTGGGTGCAATATTTCCTCATCTTCAGTTGAAACAACAACTTCATTTTCTTCTGGCCTGATGTCAAAAGAGGAGCGGATACTACCACTCTCACTGAGTCTGGTGCTTGGAAGAGCTCTATCCCCAATGTCTCCAGCCTCTGAAACCCTCTCAGATTCGTCATCATTATCTGTATGGTGGCTTGTATGACTTGATATGCTCGTTGAACGCCTTCTGATCGATGAACCTGTGCAACTCAATCTCTCCATGTGTAACAAAAAGAAGGTCCTTCTCACAAACACATGATCCTCTTCTGCTCGACTACCATCAAAAACTGCATCAGGGCATACAAACCTTGTTTGTTTTGCTCCCTATTTTTCATCGAATCTAATTGGATAAATAAGTACTTGATGACTAACTGAACAACAATCGGGTACACATTGAGATATGTAACAAAAATTACTCTCTGTTTCAAAACATAAATACAATACAACCAATCAGATAACACCATTTTCTTGTTTTAATAGTTAAAAAATGAACAATTTCCTCACTAACATAAAGAAAACGAAACAAACACGTTGTAGTCAATTTAATTCAGGATGACGCAAACATGTTATCTACCCACATGATGGTTTATGATTACAAGGATGTAAACATATTAAAGGTATCAAGGCTTTAAAAAATCACTTCATGGTTGCAATTTAACCGCAACATTAAGGTTTTAAGAACTTTGAAGCCAACATTGGATTGTGTTGCAACTTTAATACTAAAGATTTACAAAAAAGTTGTGACTACAATTGAATTGTAATTAAGGAAACTTCAAAAGTCAGGATATTAGAAGTGTCACTGGAATTATGCATGGGGCAGGGCTACATTTGAAGTTAGCGTTGAGCATACGCAATACGCAAACTAAATTCAAAAGGGAAAATAAATTACTGACCTAGACCAAACGAATTAAAACCCACGTAAATGTTAACCAAACCAAAATGACATAACATAGGAAATTAAGGAGATTCTTACCTACAAATGTGAATCAAGAGCTTGCTTTGGATCACTTGGATGTGAGTGACGTGATTAATAATAAATAATAGAATGTGCCTGCAATGCAAATAAATTACACTTTCCTAAAGATATAATGTTACATCGTTTTTCTCTGCAATGTTAAATATTAATATTAATAATTATTAATTACCAACATAAATATTATAAGAATTAGAGGTATACATTATATTTATATTTATATTTTATTTAATATGAATTTTATTGTAACAAATAAGATAAAAATGTGAAATGAGACTTGATTATATAAAATAAACTCGCCTTAATTTTCTTTGCAGAGTCATACACAGTTATAATCTGCTGATAAAAAAAATACAGTTATAATCTTATTTAAAATATAGTATGTAACCATGACATAAAATTTAAAGTTTTGAACTCAAATAAGACATTACTTGAAAACTTGTTGAAAACAGTCCTAAAAGACATAACACATTTAAACGTACAAAAAGTAATCTAAATTTGAAAATAAAATCTAAATTAAACCTTCAAAACGTAATTTAAATTTAAAAATGTCTTTTGAATATCATATATATTTTGACCTTACTTTGGCTCGGATTGATTTTTTTTTATAATGGTCCGATATTTGGTATTTGGGTATGTAATCTTGAGGTTTTATAGTCTTTCATTTGTGATGGAATTAAAACTAGTTTGTTTTTTGGTATTGAGTTTTGATACATTGGATTTAGTTCTTATCACTAGGCCAAAAGTTATAGCTGGTAATCAGGATGTAACTTTTTCTACTTAAGAGTGTATTGTCCAAGACACATAAACTCTTCTCATAGACACATAAATATTATGCGAGAAGGTCCAGTTCTGCTCCTTTTTCTTCAACCATCTTACTTCTCATAGACACATAAACTCTTCTCTTCATAAAATTTAAGTCAGCCTCACGATAACACTAATTGTTCTTACAATATCGAATATTTCCTACAAAGACTCAAACTAGCACTCTAAACGCTCCAATCTTCCAACTTCTGGGGTACTCGTCCTCTCCTAGTAGAATACAGATTATGTCTGCAAAAGACACTCTAACACTCAAGTCAACCAAGTGCATCAACTGGTAATAAATGTGGTAATTAATGAACTTCAATAGTTACCTCATAAACTATGGTATTTATACTATTATTTATGGGTTTTGCTATCGAGATGAGTCAATATGACTAATTACCTAAATTAGTCTTTAGTTAATCAATTGACTTAATTATATTTTAATCATGATCTTAAGCTAGTTAACTTGGTCAATACTTTTTATGCGTCGGTCCTGGTTAATCAACATGTATTCAGCCAGGCTATCATGTATTCAACCAGATTGTTATAGTGTTGGATCAGACCATTCGTGACGAGTATACTTAAACATAGATGATCGAAATATATTCAAACATATAAAAAATATTTTTTGGTTGATCGATATGTAATTGACCAAGTTATTACATTACATGTTCATATCATAAGATTCAAGTATATATAGACACATGTAATCGATATATCCTTAAACATATGATACTATTGTATGTCACTTTAAAAATATATGCATATACTTTCTTTATCATTTTCTTGAATAATTATTGGACTTCTCTCATCTATAGGGTTTTCCCATGCAATCTTTGAAAATGAATTGGTTTTGTGAGAATTTTTCGATGGCTTGAATGGTATGAAACTTTTCCATGCACTTATACTAGGGAAACCTAGGTTAAATATGTTTTTAGTCCATAAACTATTAAACGAATTTGTTTTTAGTCCCTCTTTCAAAATAAGGTACATTTTAGTTCTCCTCCTTAAGAAAACCTTAATTTTTGGTCCTCAAAAACTAATAGCGTTAAAAACAAGCTGATGTGGCTAACGGTGGTGTGCCACGTAATTTTTTTTCCGAGTCAATGTCTCCTTCCTTGCATCAAGCCGTCCTTCGCCGCCTCTCCGGAAAGTCTCTCTTCCTCGTTTTCTTTGTCTACAACGATCCAATGTGTTGTTCCTGCTGGATGTACGGTGCCAAGCTGTTGGCCCCACAGTATAGCCAAACCATCAGTCTAATTTATGAAATTTTTGGATACATTGAATGAGACCCTTCGTTAATTGATCACCTTTCGTTTGCTCTAAGTGTTTTTGTGGAATTCATGACTATAGCTCCAGGTTGAGGAATTGCTTCCGAAAAACATGGATAGAAAAGAAAGATTGGGCTCTAGCTCTTTGTTGTGGAGAAGGTGAACATACGACTACTTTGTATCTTCTAAGGAACTCTCTAAATCATAGAGAGAACTCAGACTACATAAATTCAAAAATTTGTGCAGACAAGAAGAGTAAGGGAAACCGTGATAGAAGACTGGAAATGGAAATATGGCATGATTTAGCCAATTTGTATATGCCCTTATCACAGTGGCAGCATGCTGAAGTTTGTCCGGCAAAATCTGTGGCTATTAATCCCTATTCTACTTCTAGATGGCACACAAAGGGTATATCGCTTGTTTTCAATATAATTTTAGAAAGGATATAATTCTCCACAAAAATGAGGAATCTTAAATTATTTGAAGCTTAACGTGTTTTAGATTCCAAACTTCCTTATGTTATTGAGTCTCATTTTGTTAAGGTAGCAAAATTCATAGGTTAGGTTTTTGCAGGTTTACTTTTTGAAGCTAAAGGTCTTCACATCCAAAGTCTCTGAAATCATTTAGGAAAGCATTAGATATTGATTCCAACCTTGCCCTATCGCTCACTGTGAGTTTCAATGGCGTCAGTGCAGCATTATATACCCTTGCTGCCAATTCTATTGACCCTTCCTCCAGTGCACTCAAACTGCTTTTGAATGCTCTCGTTCCCCTTCTTATTTGTATAGCAGCACTTGTTCCTATTCTTCGTCAACCGACTATAGACCCTCTCTCTCCTGATGCAGTAAACCGGGACTCAGTTATATTTCTAATACTGAACATCCTAGCCCTTTTAACTGGTCTTCATCTTCTCCTGTTGGGCTCTTCCACTTCTGGTGTGGCTTCTGCTCGGCTCTGTTTTGGTGCAGCTATTTCTCCTCCTCATCTTCCCACTATGTATTCCAGGCATAGTATATGATCAACAAATCAAGCTTCCTATTATCGTCCAATTCCAAATCCTTTCCAAATCATTTCCTATCCTCGTCAACAACGAACTCCTTCTCAAGAGCACTCACGACAAGAAGCGGGTCCCACTTCACCAACTTCAACACCCTCTTGTCGTCGCTGTCAACCGCTATTTTTAAAAAGTCAGGGTATTTGGCAACCCTGTCGCGGAAATCGACGGGGATGCCGAAGAGGGTTCTGTAGTGGTGGATTTTGCTGAAGGGGATGCGGTTGCGCGCGGACATCATGAGGAGTTTGCGAACCTTCTCCACACGATTGAGTTACATTGCGTCCATGAAGGAGTGTTCCTCGGTAAGAAGGTCCTCCATGAGATCAGTGAAGCCGAGTCAGGACTTGTCGTCGGTGTGACGGTAGGTTTGAAAGAGGAGGGGTTGGCGCTGGAGGAAGGAGAGAGACGAAGGGAGAGGGAGGGAGACGAAGGAAGAGGGAGGGAGAGAAGCAGGAAAAGATTATTCAGATTGTCATGGGACAGAAATGAAGAGAGCAAATTATGAGAAAAAGCTGAGGCGATTCTTCAAGTTCTTTGACCAGATACCCAGCTTGTGAGTTTGACACTAACAGGATAAAGAGGTAGTCGATTCCCGAGATGGGTGTTTAGTCCTTCTCTGAAGAAGTTGCAGATTGAAAGATGCAAAGAGTTTAAAGGTTTTCATGAGGCTTTAGAGTCCAGGCCTGCAAACGCAAGGAGACAGAGGGAGATGGAGGGAGACAAACATGTTCCATTGACTCAGTGTCTTAGAAAAAAAAATCACACGACATGTTACCGTTAGAAAAAAAATAGATGACGTTAGAGTTAGTCAACTCAGCGTGGTTTTAACTAGATAAGGTTTAATCCTTTTCGACATCCTTATTTATGTACGAATGTCTCAATTGGTTCCTCGTTTTTTAAAGTGTATCAAAATGGTCTTTAATTTTGAAAATTGATACCAATTGAGTCCTTTCCGTTAAGTTGACTGGACGACGTTAAAAAAATTGATGAGTGAATGTTGAGATGACGAACGAACGCTCGTCCACCAGCGAACGAACGCTCGTCCATCAGCGAACGAACGCTCGTCGACCACCGAACGAACGGTATTCCAGTGTGGAACGAACGGTCGTCCAACAGTAAGAGGTCGACGAGCGTTCGTTCGCTGGTGGACGAGCGTTCGTTCGCTGGTGGACGAGCGTTCGTTCGCTGGTGGACGAGCGTTCGTTCGCTGGTGGACGAGCGTTCGTTCGAAATATTATAAGAATTAGAGGTATTACATTATATTTATTATTATATTTATTTAATATGAATTTATTGTAACCAATAAGATAAAAATGTGAAATGAGACTTGATTATATAAAATAAACTCGCCTTAATTTTCTTTGCAGAGTCATACACAGTTATAATCTGCTGATATAAAAAAAATACAGTTATAATCTATTTAAAAAATATAGTATGTAACCATGACATAAAATTTAAAGTTTTGAACTCAAATAAGACATTACTTGAAAACTTGTGAAAAACAGTCCTTAAAAGACATAACACATTTAAACGTACAAAAAGTAATCTAAATTTGAAAATAAATCTAAATTAAACCTTCAAAACGTAATTTAAATTTAAAAATGTCTTTTGAATATCATATATATTTTGACCTTACTTTGGCTCGGATTGATTTTTTTTTATAATGGTCCGATATTTGGTATTTGGGTATGTAATCTTGAGGTTTTATAGTCTTTCATTTGTGATGGAATTAAAACTAGTTTGTTTTTTGGTATTGAGTTTTGATACATTGGATTTAGTTCTTATCACTAGGCCAAAAGTTATAGCTGGTAATCAGGATGTAACTTTTTCTACTTAAGAGTGTATTGTCCAAGACACATAAACTCTTCTCATAGACACATAAATATTATGCGAGAAGGTCCAGTTCTGCTCCTTTTTCTTCAACCATCTTATTCTCATAGACACATAAACTCTTCTCTTCATAAAAATTAAGTCAGCCTCACGATAACACTAATTGTTCTTACAATATCGAATATTTCCTACAAAGACTCAAAACTAGCACTCTACTAAACGCTCCAATATTCCAAACTTCTGGGGTACTCGTCCTCTCCTAGTCGAATACGGATATGTCTGCAAAAAGACACTCTAACACTCAAGTCAACCAAGTGCATCAACTGGTAATAAATGTGGTAATTAATGAACTCAATAGTTACCTCATAAACAATGATATTTATACTATTATTTATGGGTTTTGCTATCGAGATGAGTCAATATGACTAATTACCTAAATTAGTCTTTAGTTAATCAATTGACTTAATTATATTTTAATCATGATCTTAAGCTAGTTAACTTGGTCAATACTTTTTATGCGTCGGTCCTGGTTAATCAACATGTATTCAGCCAGGCTATCATGTATTCAACCAGATTGTTATAGTGTTGGATCAGACCATTCGTGACGAGTATACTTAAACATAGATGATCGAAATATATTCAAACATATAAAAAATATTTTTTGGTTGATCGATATGTAATTGACCAAGTTATTACATTACATGTTCATATCATAAGATTCAAGTATATATAGACACATGTAATCGATATATCCTTAAACATATGATACTATTGTATGTCACTTTAAAAATATATGCATATACTTTCTTTATCATTTTCTTGAATAATTATTGGACTTCTCTCATCTATAGGGTTTTCCCATGCAATCTTTGAAAATGAATTGGTTTTGTGAGAATTTTTCGATGGCTTGAATGGTATGAAACTTTTCCATGCACTTATACTAGGGAAACCTAGGTTAAATATGTTTTTAGTCCATAAACTATTAAACGAATTTGTTTTTAGTCCCTCTTTCAAAATAAGGTACATTTTAGTTCTCCTCCTTAAGAAAACCTTAATTTTTGGTCCTCAAAAACTAATAGCGTTAAAATAAGTAACCAGTTGTTATTGCTATGGCTAGATGCTCCGACACATTAGATATGTCTCCTTTGAATACAATACCAAACCATCCCATAAGAAATGAACCTATCTGGAATAAAACGAAAAGAAATTTGCATTACCAAGTTATCTGAATCAGTTTCCTTTTCTCAAGTTTCAGGTACACCTAAATAACGATGACTTAAGCAAATTTAAAATATCTGAAATTAACTGTATTACAGGAAGATTTATAAAAAAATGTTGTATATTCTGCAGATCAAAGATTTATAAATGCAAAATGGAAAATCAGCTAATCTTCTGCCATGAGAAAAGGAACAACTACTTGGTGTTCAGAGTCAGATAATTCCTGTTAGGACCAGCCTCTAGCTTTAAAGATGGCCCAAAGTAAGATACTTCTTTTTTGTTAAACATAGAGGATTCTTTTAAACCTGTTATATATTTTAATGCCTGAATTCATGTTCTTGGACAAATAATTCTGCACTGTTGGTATTTGTGAATATGACTTTTAATCTGTATGTAACTGAGACAGAAAAGTTATGAATCTGGAAAAGAGGACGCACCATATTAGAAGGAAGGTCAAGGTAAAGAAGAGTTTTGTTGCTTGTCACATTGCCAACCCCAGGGCCAAACAATTTTTGCAGTAAATATCTTGTCAAGACCTGCATAGTATCATGGCAACTTCTGCGTTACAAAATTCTTGAGGATAACTACTGCATGTGTCCTAACATGAAGTTTGACGATAAAAGGTTATAGCAGTGCTAATTCAGGCTGAAAACATTCCATAGCCTCCAACTTAAGCTCAAAATAAGTATGAATAAAGAAAGCAGCACATATAAGTTACACACTCTGCATGGACAGTACTGAAGGAAAATATTACACACCAAATACTGTTCAGCAGCTTCCTAGTGAAAAGCAGATAATGCTACACCAAAGTATTTTACATCAACTGGAAAATATTAACACCATAGCAATTCTAATGCAGCAATGATGTCATCATCAGTATATGTGAAAATTCAAGGAAAAATGTTAAGCATATATATTACCCCAAGAATTCCAAAAACAGCTAAATGAACCATACATGAAGCATAGTCCAGCAACTTCGGCAAACCTCTACGAGTTTCCTGAGAGCAAATAACAACGTTAAAACACTAAAGCGGCATGAAATGCCATTCATCAACAGATACGGTAAATTAACATTTAAAAAGAAAACCCAGAAACGAACAACCTCCTACCCCGTATGAAAGTGTTGAATAGAACTCACATGATTTATGGCTTCAGAGTCCACTACGGCACCTGTTGAAAGAGTGGAATTTGGGTGCAATATTTCCTCATCTTCAGTTGAAACAACAACTTCATTTTCTTCTGGCCTGATGTCAAAAGAGGAGCGGATACTACCACTCTCACTGAGTCTGGTGCTTGGAAGAGCTCTATCCCCAATGTCTCCAGCCTCTGAAACCCTCTCAGATTCGTCATCATTATCTGTATGGTGGCTTGTATGACTTGATATGCTCGTTGAACGCCTTCTGATCGATGAACCTGTGCAACTCAGTCTCTCCATGTGTAACAAAAAGAAGGTCCTTCTCACAAACACATGATCCTCTTCTGCTCGACTACCATCAAAAACTGCATCAGGGCATCCAAACCTTGTTTGTTTTGCTCCCTATTTTTCATCGAATCTAATTGGATAAATAAGTACTTGATGACTAACTGAACAACAATCGGGTACACATTGAGATATGTAACAAAAATTACTCTCTGTTTCAAAACATAAATACAATACAACCAATCAGATAACACCATTTTCTTGTTTTAATAGTTAAAAAATGAACAATTTCCTCACTAACATAAAGAAAACGAAACAAACACGTTGTAGTCAATTTAATTCAGGATGACGCAAACATGTTATCTACCCACATGATGGTTTATGATTACAAGGATGTAAACATATTAAAGGTATCAAGGCTTTAAAAAATCACTTCATGGTTGCAATTTAACCGCAACATTAAGGTTTTAAGAACTTTGAAGCCAACATTGGATTGTGTTGCAACTTTAATACTAAAGATTTACAAAAAAGTTGTGACTACAATTGAATTGTAATTAAGGAAACTTCAAAAGTCAGGATATTAGAAGTGTCACTGGAATTATGCATGGGGCAGGGCTACATTTGAAGTTAGCGTTGAGCATACGCAATACGCAAACTAAATTCAAAAGGGAAAATAAATTACTGACCTAGACCAAACGAATTAAAACCCACGTAAATGTTAACCAAACCAAAATGACATAACATAGGAAATTAAGGAGATTCTTACCTACAAATGTGAATCAAGAGCTTGCTTTGGATCACTTGGATGTGAGTGACGTGATTAATAATAAATAATAGAATGTGCCTGCAATGCAAATAAATTACACTTTCCTAAAGATATAATGTTACATCGTTTTTCTCTGCAATGTTAAATATTAATATTAATAATTATTAATTACCAACATAAATATTATAAGAATTAGAGGTATACATTATATTTATATTTATATTTTATTTAATATGAATTTTATTGTAACAAATAAGATAAAAATGTGAAATGAGACTTGATTATATAAAATAAACTCGCCTTAATTTTCTTTGCAGAGTCATACACAGTTATAATCTGCTGATAAAAAAAATACAGTTATAATCTTATTTAAAATATAGTATGTAACCATGACATAAAATTTAAAGTTTTGAACTCAAATAAGACATTACTTGAAAACTTGTTGAAAACAGTCCTAAAAGACATAACACATTTAAACGTACAAAAAGTAATCTAAATTTGAAAATAAAATCTAAATTAAACCTTCAAAACGTAATTTAAATTTAAAAATGTCTTTTGAATATCATATATATTTTGACCTTACTTTGGCTCGGATTGATTTTTTTTTATAATGGTCCGATATTTGGTATTTGGGTATGTAATCTTGAGGTTTTATAGTCTTTCATTTGTGATGGAATTAAAACTAGTTTGTTTTTTGGTATTGAGTTTTGATACATTGGATTTAGTTCTTATCACTAGGCCAAAAGTTATAGCTGGTAATCAGGATGTAACTTTTTCTACTTAAGAGTGTATTGTCCAAGACACATAAACTCTTCTCATAGACACATAAATATTATGCGAGAAGGTCCAGTTCTGCTCCTTTTTCTTCAACCATCTTACTTCTCATAGACACATAAACTCTTCTCTTCATAAAATTTAAGTCAGCCTCACGATAACACTAATTGTTCTTACAATATCGAATATTTCCTACAAAGACTCAAACTAGCACTCTAAACGCTCCAATCTTCCAACTTCTGGGGTACTCGTCCTCTCCTAGTAGAATACAGATTATGTCTGCAAAAGACACTCTAACACTCAAGTCAACCAAGTGCATCAACTGGTAATAAATGTGGTAATTAATGAACTTCAATAGTTACCTCATAAACTATGGTATTTATACTATTATTTATGGGTTTTGCTATCGAGATGAGTCAATATGACTAATTACCTAAATTAGTCTTTAGTTAATCAATTGACTTAATTATATTTTAATCATGATCTTAAGCTAGTTAACTTGGTCAATACTTTTTATGCGTCGGTCCTGGTTAATCAACATGTATTCAGCCAGGCTATCATGTATTCAACCAGATTGTTATAGTGTTGGATCAGACCATTCGTGACGAGTATACTTAAACATAGATGATCGAAATATATTCAAACATATAAAAAATATTTTTTGGTTGATCGATATGTAATTGACCAAGTTATTACATTACATGTTCATATCATAAGATTCAAGTATATATAGACACATGTAATCGATATATCCTTAAACATATGATACTATTGTATGTCACTTTAAAAATATATGCATATACTTTCTTTATCATTTTCTTGAATAATTATTGGACTTCTCTCATCTATAGGGTTTTCCCATGCAATCTTTGAAAATGAATTGGTTTTGTGAGAATTTTTCGATGGCTTGAATGGTATGAAACTTTTCCATGCACTTATACTAGGGAAACCTAGGTTAAATATGTTTTTAGTCCATAAACTATTAAACGAATTTGTTTTTAGTCCCTCTTTCAAAATAAGGTACATTTTAGTTCTCCTCCTTAAGAAAACCTTAATTTTTGGTCCTCAAAAACTAATAGCGTTAAAAACAAGCTGATGTGGCTAACGGTGGTGTGCCACGTAATTTTTTTTCCGAGTCAATGTCTCCTTCCTTGCATCAAGCCGTCCTTCGCCGCCTCTCCGGAAAGTCTCTCTTCCTCGTTTTCTTTGTCTACAACGATCCAATGTGTTGTTCCTGCTGGATGTACGGTGCCAAGCTGTTGGCCCCACAGTATAGCCAAACCATCAGTCTAATTTATGAAATTTTTGGATACATTGAATGAGACCCTTCGTTAATTGATCACCTTTCGTTTGCTCTAAGTGTTTTTGTGGAATTCATGACTATAGCTCCAGGTTGAGGAATTGCTTCCGAAAAACATGGATAGAAAAGAAAGATTGGGCTCTAGCTCTTTGTTGTGGAGAAGGTGAACATACGACTACTTTGTATCTTCTAAGGAACTCTCTAAATCATAGAGAGAACTCAGACTACATAAATTCAAAAATTTGTGCAGACAAGAAGAGTAAGGGAAACCGTGATAGAAGACTGGAAATGGAAATATGGCATGATTTAGCCAATTTGTATATGCCCTTATCACAGTGGCAGCATGCTGAAGTTTGTCCGGCAAAATCTGTGGCTATTAATCCCTATTCTACTTCTAGATGGCACACAAAGGGTATATCGCTTGTTTTCAATATAATTTTAGAAAGGATATAATTCTCCACAAAAATGAGGAATCTTAAATTATTTGAAGCTTAACGTGTTTTAGATTCCAAACTTCCTTATGTTATTGAGTCTCATTTTGTTAAGGTAGCAAAATTCATAGGTTAGGTTTTTGCAGGTTTACTTTTTGAAGCTAAAGGTCTTCACATCCAAAGTCTCTGAAATCATTTAGGAANAGAGAACTCAGACTACATAAATTCAAAAATTTGTGCAGACAAGAAGAGTAAGGGAAACCGTGATAGAAGACTGGAAATGGAAATATGGCATGATTTAGCAAATATGTATATGACCTTATCACAGTGGCAGCATGATGAAGTTTGTCAAGCAAAATCTGAGGCTATTAATCCCTAATCTACTTCTAGATGGCACACAAAGGGTATATCGCTTGTTTTCAATATAATTTTAGAAAGGATATAATTCTCCACAAAAATGAGGAATCTTAAATTATTTGAAGCTTAACGTGTTTTAGATTCCAAACTTCCTTATGTTATTGAGTCTCATTTTGTTAAGGTAGCAAAATTCATAGGTTAGGTTTTTGCAGGTTTACTTTTTGAAGCTAAAGGTCTTCACATCCAAAGTCTCTGAAATCATTTAGGAAAGCATTAGATATTGATTCCAACCTTGCCCTATCGCTCACTGTGAGTTTCAATGGCGTCAGTGCAGCATTATATACCCTTGCTGCCAATTCTATTGACCCTTCCTCCAGTGCACTCAAACTGCTTTTGAATGCTCTCGTTCCCCTTCTTATTTGTATAGCAGCACTTGTTCCTATTCTTCGTCAACCGACTATAGACCCTCTCTCTCCTGATGCAGTAAACCGGGACTCAGTTATATTTCTAATAATGAACATCCTAGCCCTTTTAACTGGTCTTAATCTTCTCCTGTTGGGCTCTTCCACTTCTGGTGTGGCTTCTGCTCGGCTCTGTTTTGGTGCAGCTATTTCTCCTCCTCATCTTCCCACTATGTATTCCAGGCATAGTATATGATCAACAAATCAAGCTTCCTATTATCGTCCAATTCCAAATCCTTTCCAAATCATTTCCTATCCTCGTCAACAACGAACTCCTTCTCAAGAGCACTCACGACAAGAAGCGGGTCCCACTTCACCAACTTCAACACCCTCTTGTCGTCGCTGTCAACCGCTATTTTTAAAAAGTCAGGGTATTTGGCAACCCTGTCGCGGAAATCGACGGGGATGCCGAAGAGGGTTCTGTAGTGGTGGATTTTGCTGAAGGGGATGCGGTTGCGCGCGGACATCATGAGGAGTTTGCGAACCTTCTCCACACGATTGAGTTACATTGCGTCCATGAAGGAGTGTTCCTCGGTAAGAAGGTCCTCCATGAGATCAGTGAAGCCGAGTCAGGACTTGTCGTCGGTGTGACGGTAGGTTTGAAAGAGGAGGGGTTGGCGCTGGAGGAAGGAGAGAGACGAAGGGAGAGGGAGGGAGACGAAGGAAGAGGGAGGGAGAGAAGCAGGAAAAGATTATTCAGATTGTCATGGGACAGAAATGAAGAGAGCAAATTATGAGAAAAAGCTGAGGCGATTCTTCAAGTTCTTTGACCAGATACCCAGCTTGTGAGTTTGACACTAACAGGATAAAGAGGTAGTCGATTCCCGAGATGGGTGTTTAGTCCTTCTCTGAAGAAGTTGCAGATTGAAAGATGCAAAGAGTTTAAAGGTTTTCATGAGGCTTTAGAGTCCAGGCCTGCAAACGCAAGGAGACAGAGGGAGATGGAGGGAGACAAACATGTTCCATTGACTCAGTGTCTTAGAAAAAAAAATCACACGACATGTTACCGTTAGAAAAAAAATAGATGACGTTAGAGTTAGTCAACTCAGCGTGGTTTTAACTAGATAAGGTTTAATCCTTTT